TCTGTGGGTTCAGGCAAGGGAACAGCACTGTACTGTCCCCTTGTCATGATAATAGTAATGATATAATTAGCACTTAAAGCACTAAGTATGGGTCATACCCTGTGCTAAGCACTTTATACGTGCTGTGTGTCTTATTATCTTCACCACAACTTTATGAGAGAGGTGCTATTATCGTCCACGTTTAACACAGAAGAAATCGGCCCAGAGAAGATAGATAACTTCCTGAGGATCACAGGTAGGCAGTGGCAGGGCTGGGACTTGAACCCAGGGCTGCCTAAAACCAAAGCCTGGTGTTCTTAAGACAGAATGAGATCCATCTAGAGTCACATGGGGACTGAGCACGGGATCCTGAGCCTCGTCTAAGGCTCTCTTCATCCATTCAAAGGCCACACCAGTGAGCTGGAATGCTTTGGAGATGGAGGTGTCATTGAGGGTGACTAAGTGTCACATGGAGGAGTATATGGGAGACATCTGGCATCCCTAGGCCCAGCCCGCCACAGCTGTCAACCAGGATCTATAACTGCTGGCATGTTCTTATGACAAATAAAATAGCATAATCTTTGAAAGCCATATAATGATGTAGGTGTATTACAAATAAGATGTTGACTCATAATTGATAGGCATAAATTACGAAATCCTTTGTATACTCTGCAGCAGCACCATGTAAAAGTGTGCTCTCATCATTTTATGGTTATTGCTGTTGTTACCGCTCAGTTGGTGGTGTGTCCAGGGAGCTTACCCTAGCCCAGATCGCAGTGGTGGTGCCTGCAATATCAAATGGCAGCTGAGAACATAACCTGACTTGAATGTTCTGTCCTCACTGGGTCCCAGCACCTGGAAGTATTTGAGTTTTGCATATGGATATATTGCAGTAAAAGCCCAGTGTGCGGACGAGCTAATTAACCAGGTGTGTTCAGCATTTGCCAGCTTGCCCGGTGCTGAAATCAGTCTTCATGTTCAACGTTGGTGGCCAGCAGCACTCCTGGGTCTTCAGAGCATTGTTAGAGAGACACTTAGAAACCAGCAGACGTGATGGAGCGGGTAGAGACCCACTCTCAAGTCCCAGGACAGGCGAGAGGCCAGGAAGCCAGCCACCAGCATCTGGAAGAGAAAGCCCACCAACTGCTGTGGGTTTCCTGGGCATTGCTTGTGGCCTTGCTAAATGGGATTACCCTGAGGAGCATCCAAATCCCATTGGCTCTCTAAGCCCAGTTTAAATCCCACTCGCTCCACAGAAGCCTTTCCTGACATTTCAGCTCCTGTCCTCTCCCCATCTACAGTCCTGTGGCATTGAACGCCTGTGCCATCCACTTAGGCACTGAAGTGTCCTGCCTTATACAAAAGGTCTTCCAAAAGTTCATGGAAAATGCATATTATTGAAAAAAATACAAGGATTTCAACATTGTTTTAGCACCAAAATAAACGCATACTAACTTGGTATAACATCTGAACAGGATCTAGTTTGAGTCAGTAAGAAGGATAAGACATCAGTTGGAAAAGAGCCCCTATCAAAACAACACAAATTCTGCTAAAATTGAAGCAAAAACAAACATCAAATTTGCAGAGAAGCTCGGGCAGGAGAATTGTGAAATTATTGATGCTTTACAAGAAGCTCATGGGGACGATGCCCCAAAGAAATCAGCGTTTACAAATGGACAGCTCATTTTAAGAAGGGATGAGATGATATTGAAGACGAAGCCCATAGCAGCCATCCGCATCAATTTGCAAAGAAAAGGTTCATTTTGTTTGTGCCCTAACTAAAAAGGACCAGTGTTTTACAGAACTAACAATAACCAACACCATAGACATCTAAGCTGGTTTAGCTTACATAATGTTGACTGAAAAATTAAACTTGAGCAAACTTTCCTTCCACTCAATGGGTGACAAAACCCTTCTGCCCAGGTCAGCTGCAGACAACAGCAGAGCTTTCAATGGAACTTTCAAACAAGTGGGATCAAGACCCTGAAGGACTTCTTTGAAGAATTGTAACAGGAGGTGAAACAGGGCTTTTTCAGTATGATCCTGAAAACAAAGCACAATCAAACCAAGAGGTGGAAGTGGTCCAATCAAAGCAAATGTGGACCAGTCAAGAGCAGATGTCATGGCAGTGGTCTTTTGGAATGCTCAAGGCATCTTGCGTGTTGACTTTCTGGAAAGCCAAAGAACAATAACAACTGCTTATTATGAGAGCATTTATTATGAGAAAGCCAAAGCATTAGAAAAAAAACATCCCCCATCCCACCCCCCCCAAAAAAAAAACCTGGGAGAGCTTCACCAGAGAGTCCTCCACCAGGACAATGCTCCCGCTCATTCTTCTCTTCAGACAAGGGCAATTTCAAGAGAGGTTTGGTGAGAAATCATTAGGCATCCACTTTACAGTCCTGATTTGGCACCTTTTGACTTCTCTTTGTTTTCTAATCTTAAATATTTAAAGGGCACTCATTTTTCTTCAGTTAATAATGCAAAAAAGATGGCATTGACATGATTACGTTTCCAGGACCCTCATTTCTTTAGGGATGGACTACATGGCTGGTGTCATTGCTTAAAAAAGTGTATCGAGCTTGATGGAACTTATGTTGGGAAATCAAGTTTGTATTTGTAATTTTCGTATTTTAATTCCATTTTTATGAACTTTTTGAAGTCCTCTTTTACGTTAGCTACATATTTTTGTTTAGTTTAACCTTTACTTTCACATTCCTGGTCTTCTGTGACCTCTCCCAGTGACAATCATATGTGGACTTGGGACATCTCTGATGACCTATCTGGTTGGTAAACTGCAACTTGTTCCAGACTGGGTTTAAGGGAGCTGTTTCATTATTATAAGTACGTGTGATATTCTTCATTAACTTTTCATGTGGCTTTGCAAGCTGTCTAGGCATCCAAAACATATACCTTTTGAGACGCAGGCTGGTCTCTTGCAATCTCAGCCTCCATCTTAGAATAGCTGTCTTGCTTACCTTGGCTGTACTCAGTGACAGCGTCTTGCTGGGATATTGAGTGAAGGGCTAGTTCCACAGTCCAGATTAGCTCCCTCTCATACTAGCCACTCACATGATACTCTTTACCTTCCTTTTACTGCAGTTACCATGATTTATATCATATATTCACTCATTTGTTAAAGCCTTTCCCCCAACCCGCTGGGAGACCTATTTGCTTCTTCACCATATCCCGTGTACCCAGTCCCTGGAACCTGGCAGGGGGTCCGTAAAGACTAGATCAATAAATGCATGAATTAATTAGCATGGTCACTCTAGGAGATGGCAAGGGTTGGGAGAAGAGAGTTCAGATCTGGGGCTCTGGGGCTTTCTGAATTCCTCAGCTGTAAAGAGAAGTAAGGTCTGCTACAGATGGGCAGTGGAATAATGGAAAATACATTGGCCTAGAAGTCAGGGACCTGAGGGTCAGGCATTCTCCTGCATTTTCTATGTAACCTCAAGAAAGTCTTGTAAGGGTTGAAGGAGATGTTTTTGTGAAATTGCTTTGTAAACCATAAAGAGATATGGTAAGATGCTGTTCATCATCCTAAGATCTGGCCCCTGCCTATTTGTCCAAATGTATTCCTTATTTATTTAATTTAGCTAGGCCAATCTTCTCATTAAAAAATATTTTTCTCGCCTTAATGCCAAACAATACATCGTAATAACAAAGATATCAGAAAATTCAGAAGAAAATAAAAATCATCTCTTAAGGTTACCATCTAGAAATAACACTGTTCACATCTTATTTATAGTCTAAACATTTTTTTTCTAAACGAGTTTCCCAGGTGTCAGCAGTGGGGACAAGACAGGGCAGCTTTCCTCTCCTGTTTCCCACTGCGCTGGCTTTGCTGAGGGCTGCTGCCTGGGAAAACACCGGAGAGTGGAGCCTCCCCATTTGTTTGCTTCCAGCATCCTGGTAGCAATGCCAGTGGGTCAGGGGACAGGGGTGCCAACAGGTGGCTTAGAGAGGGCCTTACCTTGCTCCAGCACTTTTCATTATCTAAAAGTTCTTATTTGGTCTGCATATTTTTATTTGTCTCTGGAAATAACTGGCCACTGGAATATAAGCTCCACAAGGACAATACCTTGCAGGATTTGCCTGTTGCTGCCTTTGGCACCTAACAAAAGTGCCTGCACAGAGTGAATATTCATTGAACAAAATGAATGAGCACAAGCGCTGTGTTACCTCATATAGGATAGGAAACACCTGATGAATATTTACCTCCCATGAATTGTGCATATGAGAGGCACAGAGGCCAGATTCCTTGGTGATATACATCTGGACTTCCAGGTCTAGCTGTGGTTTGAGCTTTGGCGTTATACAATAGATAATCCCAATCCCCTTTTTGTAATCACTACTGCTCCCTTCAGTCATTTCAAGCACGTTCTCAGACCATGCTACTTAACATGTGGCCAAAGCATTCTGTAAAACTGCTTTCCAGGTTCAGTCATAACACTCCCAAACTGTCCTGTGCAAGGAAGCCCATCCTCTCCCTGTGCCAAAGCCTGTCTCTCCTCCATTGTCTTTCAGCTTTCCCTCCTTATGTAGCCCCTAGGCTTTCTTGTACCTCCTACTGCATTTCTTTCTTAGGGAGGGCAGTGATTCTTGCCACAGTGCTTACATTGCTGTCTTCAAAGGTGAGCTCCTATGGCATAGACAGCATCTGTGGATTTGGATGGAAAGAATTTCAAGAGCACTTGCTTGGAGCGGGAGCTCTGTGGGGGTCAGTCTCCAATCAACCCTGAGGCTACGCCCTTCTCATGCACAAGGGCCTGCTCCCATCAAGCTGGACATAACCTCTGGATTCAGGGTCACTAAGCAGACTTATCACTGCTGTTCCTTCATCTTCCCTCCTCTTCTCCAGAACCTGGAAGAAGATGAGTCAGGCCTGTTTTCTTCCAGAACACTGCAATGCGGCAGGAGGGATGTTTCCCTTGTTTTCCCAAAATTCCCATAAAGCCACTTCTGTTGTAAGCCTCAGTGGAAAACAAGGTGTGATGCATCTCTTGTGTATTTCCCAGGTGGAATTCAAGTCACCAGTGGCCAAAGTACCCTCCAGGTGTGAAGAGTTGCAGGTCCTCTGAGGAGCCAGGAGCTGCAAGGTGAGTGAGCAAACAAAAGGCGACAGGCTGCAGAGTACTAGATCTGCCCCCACCCCGGACCCCAACTCCAGGCCCTGCCTTGTTAGCACTATTGTAGCTGTTTTTTAACATTCATGAGGATCAGCAGCGGGCCCTTAGATTTGAGAAACAGAGTTCGTCAGCCTTCTTGAGGACAGTTTTAAAAATACCAGATGACAGAGGGGCTATTCCACCTTGTTGGGGTATCGCTTAAGTTCATTTAAGGGAGGCCTCTGGGAGAGAGGGTTCGCCACTTTGCCCAGCTCTTTTACATGTGGGCACAAGGGTCTGGAACCTTTACTAGCCTCTCTCTGCAAAGAGCTGCTCCTCAGCCACTGGTCCCTCACAGAGCCAGTTCCACTGTGAAGCCTGTCCAATCCTCATGTCCCTCTTGTCCAGCCTCCCTTGGCAATGAGGAGGGTGTGTTTGCATTGATATATAGCATCACTGTTCACTTTCACATCTACTGTCTCATTTGAGCCACTTCCCGTGGGATAGTGATATAGTAATAGTTTGGGTATTTATCACTGCCCACATCTCATGTTGAATTGTAATCCCTGGTTTTGGAGGTGGGCCTGGTGGGAGGTGATTGGATGATGGGGGTGAATCCTCACGAATGGCTTAACACCATCGCTCATGGCTTGGTGCTGTATTTACCATAGTGAGTGAGTTCTCATGATATCTGGTCATTTAAAAGTGTGTGGCACCTCACCCCCAACTCTCTCTCTCTCTCTGTTGCTCCTGCTTTGCCATGTGACGTGCAAGCTCCTGCTTCACCTTCTGCCGTGGGTAAGAGCTCCCTGGGGCCTCCCCAGTAGCCAAGCAGATATTGGCACCATGCTTGCTTAGCCTGCAGAACCATATACCAATTAAACTTGTTTTCTTCTTAAATTATCCAGTCTCAGGTATTTCTTTATAGCAATGCAAGAATGACCTAATACAGATACGCAGGGAGGAAACTGTTACCCCACTTTAAAAAACAAAAGAAGTGGCCAACTTCCCAAGGTCACAGGGTGGCGAAGTTCACACTTGAACTTTATTTTTGATGCCTGAACCTTTCTATGGTACTATGTTCCTGCTAGCCTCTTGACAGATGGGGTTGAGACAGGACAAGAATAGGGAAGGGAAAGGGAATGAAGACTAGAGGTTTGATGGGGAAATAATTGGGAACTCTTGGCTAAGATACCAAGTGGGATTATCTCTGCAGGCTAAATTCATTGTTGTCTTTGTTTTCCTCTCATTTTCTACCAGCCACTAAAATCCATGAGAATAATGTGCTATCCAAACTCATAGTGATTCATACAAGACTATGGCTTGGAGAAAATGTCGAAATTTAGCCCTTTGGATGGCCTTTTACTCCACCTCAGTATAACATCTTGTATGTTAAACTCTAATCCTGAATTTGTTACCAAGAGTGGGGTGCCAGTGTAATAAATCCCTGAAAATGTGGATGTGGCTATGGAATGGGTAATAGGTAGAGGCTGGAAGAATTTTGAGGTACATGCTAGAAAAAGCCTACATTGCCATGAACTGACTTTTTTTTTTTTTTTTTGATACGGAGTCTTGCTCTGTCACCCAGGCTGGAGTGCAGTGGCGCGATCTTGGCTCACTGCAAGCTCTGCCTCCCGGGTTTGCACCATTCTCCTGCCTCAGCCTCCCGAGTAGCTGGGACTACAGGCGCCCGCCACCACGCCCGGCTAATTTTTTGTATTTTCAGTAGAGACGGGGTTTCACTGTGGTCTCGATCTCCTGACCTTGTGATCCGCCCACCTCGGCCTCCCAAAGTGCTGGGATTACAGGCGTGAGCCACTGCGCCCGGCCGCCATGAACTGACTTTTAAAGGTGGTTCTGGTGAAGGCTCAGAAGGAGAAGAGAAGAGCTGTAGAGAAGGCCTCAATCTTAAACAAGATGTAAGTCATCCTACATTGGTAGGAATATGCGTGATAAAAGCCTTTCTGATGAGGTCTCAGATGAAAATGAAGAACTTGTTATTAGACACTAGAGGAAAGGCCAGCCTTGTTATAAAGTGGCAAAGAACTTGGCTGAGTTGTGCTTACATCAGTCCTTTGTAGAAGGTAGAACCTGGGAGTGATGAAATTGGATATTTGACTGAGGAAATATCTAAGCAAAGTTTAAAGGAGTGGCCTAGTTTCTCTCGACCGCTTATAGTAAAATTTGAGAGGAGGACTATGACTTAAGATGACATTGCGAGTCAAAAGCAGAGAACGTAAAGATTTGGAACATTCTCAGCCTATCCCTTTAGAGATGGGAACACCTGTCATGCCCCTGTCCCATCATTGTATTTTGGAAGCACGTAACCTGTTTGATTTCACAGGTTCACAGCTGGTGAGGAATTTGTCTTAGAATGAATGATACCGAGTCTCAGCTATATCTGATTTACATGATATTTACACGAGATTTTGGACTTTCTGTCTTTGAGTTTATGCTAGAACGAGTTGAGACTTTTGAGGCTGTTGGAATGGAATGAGTGTATTTTGCATGTGAGAAGGACATGAGCTGGGAAAATCAGGGTTGGAATGCTATGGACTGAATAACTGTGTCACTTTAAAACTCATTATGTTGAAACTTAACCTCCCAAGTGGATGAGAGTAGGAAATAGGGCCTTTGAGGACTCTAATGGGATTAGTGCCCTGATAAAAGAGGCCCTAGTAAACTTCCTTTTTTTTTTTTTTTTTTGAGGTGGAATCTCGCTCTGTCGCCAGGCTAGAGTGCAGTGACACGATCTTGGCTCACTGCAACCTCCGCCTCCCGGGTTCAAGTGATTCTCCTGCCTTAGCCTCCCAAGTAGCTGGGATTACAGGCACGCATCACCATGCCCAGCTAATTTTTGTGTTTTTAGTAGAGTCGGAGTTTCACCATGTTGGCCAGGATGGTCTGGATCTCTAGACCTCGTGATCCACCCGCCTTGGCCTCCCAAAGTGCTGGGATTACAGGTGTGAGCCATTGCGCCCGGCCAACTTCCCATCTTCCTTACCATGTGAGAACAGTGTAAGAAGTTGCAGTTTGCAGCTCAGAAGAGGGCCCTCGCCAGAACCCAACCATGCTGGCACCTGATCTCAGACTTCCAGCCTCCAGAACTGGGAGAAATAAATGTCTATTGTTTATAGGCCATCCAGTCTATGATATTTTGTTATATCAGCTGGAATAGAGTGAGATATTAAATACCAGTAAGACTTAGCACAGACAAACGGAAAGGGCATGCCAGATGACTGAGCTATATATTGGAAGATGCCAAGGCACAAAAGAGCTGAGAGAACAGGAAATAATTTGGAAGGAAGTGAATGTGGTAGGAGAAGAGGGCGATTACTCTAAAGAAGTAGTAGTGGTCCCATGTGTTTAAGATTGATACTGAAAACAGTGGGGAGGCATGATCAGGTCTCATTTTAGACAGATCTTCCTAGCAGTCTTCTTAGGGCTTTGCTTAACCGTTTTCTGGAAAGCAGTTTAGTAGTACACATTAGAAGCCTTTAAAACGTGCTTGCAAAATACCTCTGGTTCAATCATGTTATAAATCTGGGAACGATAATAATAACAACCACCTACCATGTAGTCCATATTGTATCAGGTATTTTCGATATGTTGGGTGCATTATTTTTGTTTAACAACAATTCTGCAAGTAAGAATCATTAGCCTCATTTTACAGATAAAGAAACCAAGGTTTGCTTTACTTTTTAACTTTTTTTTTGAGACAGAGTCTCGCTCTGTCACCCAGGCCAGAGCGCAGTGGCACAATCTTGGCTCACTGCAACCTCCACCTCCCGGGTTGAAGTGATTCTCCTGCCTCAGGCTTCCGAGTAACTGAAATTACAGGCTTGCACCACCATGCCCGGCTAATTTTGTAGTTTTAGTAGAGACAGGGTTTCACCATGTTGACCAGGCTGGCCGCGAACTCCTGACCTCAGGTGATCCACCCACCTCAGCCTCCCAAAGTTCTGGGATTATAGGCGTAAGCCACTGCGCCCGACCAGAAACTGAGGTTGTAAAGAGTCAGGCCGACTTAAGATCAAATTCATGCTCTGTCATTAATTAGCTGTTTTCCTGCAATAAATTACTTAACTTTTTCTGAAACAGCTTCCTGTGGTGCTACTGTAAAGAATAATGCAAAGCAGATTTAAAGAAAAGCTCCTCTTTATTGGATTATCTACTCATTTGGATTATCTCTACCATAGCTGACTTTCATTTTCTCAAACATTTGAGAGAAGCTTCGGCTTCAAAAATTAAGTAAAATGAGTCAGAATTGTATGGTGTAGAGAATGACTGGAGAGTAGTTTTATTTTTGGGGACCACCCTGAGAGTTGTTTGTGCCTACAGTTTTTATTGCACACACACACGTGGCTCTTCTCACCTCGTCTACCTCTGCTGTTTGTAGGTTGTCCCCTGCTAGACTGTCAGTGCATTGTGAAAGACCATAGTTGTAAATATATTTCTGTATCTCCCACAGCAGCTCCCTGGTTCAGTGCCTTCCACATAGCTGGAGAAATTGCAACAATTTTTCCAGAAAGAGTTGGAACATCATAGTCCAAGAGAAAGAGAGGCTTTGAGAATAGAGAGCGAAGAGGTAAGGGCATAGGAGCAGACACAGAGAACATAGATATTTAGGTCTGGAGACTTGAAAGGGAAGGTTTGGAACTAAGGGAATCTGGGAGAATGTATCGCCTAATAAATATACAAAATGTCGTCATTAATGTTGGGTCAAGAGAATTATCTTAGATTGGGCTTCCAGAAAGCCAACCCTGAGAGGAAGATTCATATTCAGGCGATTTATTAAGAAAATGCTCCCAGGAGAACTGATAAGGGATGGGGAAGCAGGATGGGAGAGAGGAGGAAGCCATACAGAGTGAGATCTCAGCAAAGTTCCAGACTCTGTCCCCACAAAAGTGTTCTAGAGTGTAAATCACAACTCAGAGTTTGTCCCCACTGGAGGCAAGAGTACTGGGCTGTCATAATTCCACGCCCATCAG